GGTGGTGAGCGGGCAGAGCCCCCATTCCCCAGTGCAGCCCCAGTCCCTACAAGCAGCCCCAGTCCCCCCATGCAGCCCCAGTCTCCCCATGCAGCCCCAGTCTCTACAAGCAGTCCCAGTCCCCCAATGCAGCTCCAGTCTCCCCATGCAGCCCCAGTCCCTACAAGCAGCCCCAGACCCCCATGCAGCCCTGCTCCCCTAATGCAGCCCCAGTCCTTCCATGTGGCCCCAGCCCCTCCAAGCGGCCCCTGTCTCTCCATGCAGTCCCACTCCCCACATGCGGACCCAGCCCCAGGCCCTCCAATGCACCCCCCATCCCCCCATGCAGCCCCAGTCTCCCCATGTAGCCCCAGTCCCTACAAGCTGTCCCAGTCCCCCCATGCAGCTCTGCTCCCTCCATGCAGCCCCAGCCTCGGTCCCCCTGTGTGGCCCCAGTCCCCCCATGTGGCCCCAGTCCCCCCGTGCAGCCCTGCTCCTCCTGTGCAGCCCTAGTCCCACCAATGCAGCCCCAGTTCCCCAATGCAGCCCCGCTCCCCCCATGCAGCCCCAGTCCCAACCGCAGTCCCTCCAAGCAGCCCCACTCCCCCGCTTCGGCTCAGCTCCCCCAAGGCAGCCCCGCTCCCCTCCTTCGGCCCCGCTCCCCCCGTGCGCCCCCCCTGCCCGGCAGCCGGCCGTGCGCCCCGGGGCAGCCGCGACCTTGCCCGGTCGATGCAGGGCTGCGCGGACGAGTGCGGCAGCGGCCTCGCATCACCCCACTGCAGGGAGGGGCGCCTGGGCACAAGCCCCATCCCATGGTGGGGTTGGGAGCCCTGGGAGGGGGTCCCTCCGTAGCAAGGATGGGGTCACCCCGGGCAAGCACAGGGGGACGGGGGCGGCCCTTGCAAGGCCGGGCCCCTGCGCCGCGGCGCGGGCTGCACCTCGAAGCGGATGTTGGAGCGGCGGTGCCGGGCCAGCTCGGCGATGTTGACCCCGTTGAACATGATGTTCTCCACGCAGCCGCGGAAGTTCTGCCGGTAGGTGAGGTGCTGCTTGTCCTGGTCGATGACGCCGCCGAAGAAGAGCTGCGGGCAGAGGGACAGGGGCTCAGCCTGGCGCTGGGGAGGGCACCAGGTCCCCGCGCCCGGCGCATCCCACCTCGGTGTCGAGGTCGAGCTGGTCGAAGGTGCCGTGGCAGCGGAAGCGCTTGACCTCCCCGTCCAGCGTCAGGTTGACGTGGTGGCCGTAGCGCTCCACGTGCACCGAGTGCCAGTGCTCGTCATCCAGCAGGCTGCCCACGGCCACCGTGGTGTGGCCCTCGGTGGCGTGCAGGGGGCTGCTGCCTGGGGAGGGGGCTCGTCACCCTGCGCTCGCCACACCGGCCCCAGCGCCGGCCCGGGCCCCGTCTCACCTAGGCTGATGTGCAGGAACAGCTGGGCCTGCTTGAGCTCCAGCGTGATGTAGTCGCCCTGGGCGCCCTCGCCATGCATCAGCACCCCGTCCTGCTCCACCGTCTTGAAGTTGAAGGAGATGTCATCCTCCATGGTGCTGATCCTCTTGGCACGGAAGCGGTAGGAGATGGCGTCGTCGCCGTCGAAGTAGAGCACGTGGGACCCTGTGGGGTCACGGGGCTTGGGCAGCGCCCGCGGCGCCTCTCCCGCCGAGCGGTCCCCGCGCGGCCCCCCGCTCACGGTAGGGGCAGCCGTAGAGGCCCAGGCGCAGCCCGATCTTCCCGCGCGGGTTCCAGGCCACGGGGATGATGCGGATGTAGCGTGCCAGGATGGGGTAGTGCAGGTCGTGCCGCACCACCCCGCTCTCGTTGACATTTCCAAAGAAGGTCTGCGAGTGTGAGGGGGGGAAGGAGATCAGAAGCATCCAGGGGCAGCAGGAGAGCCCCCCCCAACCCGCAACCCCCCCCTACCCAGTTGCTGCCCTGCTGGAAGAAGGGCTTCCAGCTGGTGGGGTGGTCGCCGTACAGCACGATGTAGCGCGTGAGCCAGTCGTAGGTGTTGAAGGTGCCCTGCGTGGCCACGGCGTTGATGCGGTGCTTCTGCATCAGGTCGATCTGCAGCCAGGGCTGCTTGTCGCGGGGGTCGGGGGACCAGCCGCTGGTGCCTGGTGGGGGGCAGCGCTCAGACCCTGCCCGGATCCGCATGGGGGCTCCCCACGCCGCCCCCCGCCCTGCGCCGCAGGACTCACTGTGCAGCCGGGCGAAGCTGGCCGAGTAGAAGATGTTGTACCGGGAGGAGGCACCGATGGAGTAGGAGTAGAGGGGGGCCACGAGCTCATCGTAACAGGGCCCTGCGGGAGCAGGTGCTCAGGGCAGAGCGCAGCGTCCTCCTTACCCCCCCCGCTTCACGTCGCGGCCCCATGGGGACCAGCGACGCGGGCGGCTGCTGCAACCTGCGCCCGGCCGGGCCAGGAGCCGCCGCGGCCCGCGGGGCTCTGTCCGGTCCCGGCCCCGCGCGGGCCCCGCGCCGAGGCGGGGGCTGCTCCGGCGGGGGCCCTGGCCCCGGGTCGGTGCGGGGCTCGACGGCGCGTCCGTGCGGCTCCGCTCTCCCTCTTCCCTCCCACTGCGGAGCTGACACACCTCTGCGGGCAGCGCCCCGCGCCGCCCCGCGCTAACGTGGGCGGCGGGGAGCCCCGGCACCCCCGGCCTCCCCCCGCACCCGGGGTCCCGCCGCGCCCGGGGCGGGGGTTTGTGCCGGTGCCGGCAGCATCCGCGGAGGAGGCTCCGGCGGGACGGGGCCCCCGGCCCTCGGAGGCGGCTCCAGCGCTGCGGACGGACCCGGGCAGCCTTTGGGCCAGGCGGGGGACGCTCCCCTGCGGCCCGGCTGTCCCCGGCTGCCCCCGGCTGCGGGTCCTCTGTGCAGAAGCCGGACGGATGCAGCCGAGCTCGGACGGGTCCAGGTGCCGTCCGGCCTCCCTGGGGACCCTACCGGACCCCCCGGGGGCCCTGCGTAAAAGGACAGCGCCCTGCAGCGAGGCTGTCGGGGCTGCAGCCCTTCCCCGGCCCGGCCCGGCCCGGCGCTGCGGGGATGCGGCAGGGCCGGTTTCCCGGAGGACCCGCCGTACCCCCGGCTCCTGCAGCCCCCCGGGCCCGGCAGGGTGTGGGGGAGCGGGCAGGGCCGGGGCAGAGAGCGGGGGCTGCGGCGGGGCCGCTCCGGGCAGGGCGGGGGATGCCCGAGCTCCCGGATCGGGCCCGGTGCGGGCGGGTGACCTTGGGGAGGGCGCGGCTCAGGAGCGGGGGTGCTCGAGGGGCCGGGGGTGCTCGAGCTCGGGGGGGTCTCGGGAGCGCCAGGAGATGCTCTGGAGCACCGGGGATGCTTCGGGAGCTGGAGGATGCTCAGGAGCACCGAGATGCTGGGGAGCATCGAGGATGCTCAGGAGTGCCAGAGATGCTCTGGATCCTGGGGATTCTCTTGATCTTAGCGATGCTCGGGGATGGGGAGACGCTCCGGGCCCCGGGGGTGCTCCGGGAATGCTCTGGGTCCCGGGGATGCTCCGGGCTCCCGGGACTGCTGGGGAGCGCGGGGATCGCCGGTCCCCGGGCTGCTCGGGAGCACCGCAGTGCGGAGCGGCGCTCCGGGCGGGGCCGGACTTACGTGCGAGGCAGCCGGGGCCGGGGCGCAGGAGGCCGGCGCAGGCGGCGAGCAGGAGCCCGAGGAGGCGGCGGCCGCTCATGCTGGAGCGCCCCGAGCGCCCTCGGCGCCGCCGCTGCCGCAGCCGCAGCGAGTGGGGCCGGCGGCTCCGCCCAGGGGCGGTGCGGGGGACCCGGGCGGGGCCGGTACCGGTACCGGGGCGGGGCCGAGCCCCGCAGCAACCCGCTCCCCGTGCGGCTGCGGCGGCCCCGGGCCGGGCACGGGATGGGACACGCGCGGGGGAGCAGCGCTGTGGGAGACCCCAGCGCCGGGCGGGCCCTGCAGGTCCTGGGCGAGCAGGGCACGGGCCGGGCAGCGCCAGGGCGCAGCAGGACGAGCGGCAGACAGGGTACGGAGGCAGCGGAGCCCAGGGAGCCCCTGCAAGCAGTATCCGGGGTGCTGGTGCTCTCCAGCCTGCAGCCTTGGAGCCCCTGCGGCCCCCACAGCTGGACCCTGCGGTGGTGGCAGCGGCAGGGAAGGAGTTAAGTGGTGCCCGCCAGCTGTGTTGTGGCAGATGTGGCAGCGCTTGTAATCAAGCAGCAGATTAAGGCCTGCGGGTTTAGGGCTGCCCGGGTCTTGAGCAGTGCAGGAGGCCTGGATTTAGCCTCTATCCAGTCCCAAGCACCCGCAGACACCCACGGAGGCGGTAGGGAGAGGGCGGCTACTGTCTGCCCTACATACAGTCCCTGCCCCTGGCTCCTCAGGGCTGTGCTGAGCCAAGGGCCTGGCACACAGGGGAGCTTCGAGGGTCCCCGCGGCAGGTGCTGTGGCTCAGGGCCCATGGACTGGCCAAGCGGATGTCACCTGTGCTGCAATGGGAGCCACGACGCTTCCTGTGTGGGGAGCAGAGGCAGAACAGAAAGTCCCAGGTGCAGCTCCAGGGCTGGGCGCCCTGGCAGGGAGCCGGGACCTGAGTGGGGTGAGCGTGGACAGGGCTTCCCAATGAGCTTCTCCCCGCAGACATGGACCCCACCTTCATGTGGAGGGGGGGATCCAGCCATCAAGCAGCCCTTGCTGACAGGGTGTCCATGATGGGTGCCCAGACCCCTGGGTGAGGACGCAGCCCCTGGCAAAACTGCGCTTCCCACTGAAGTGACATCCTGGGAACGGCCGTGGGGCCATCAAGTTGTTCTGCAGCTCAGCCCTGCATGGCACCTGGTGCAGTGATGTGGCTCTCAGCAGGGCCAGGTTCTTGGTGGCCCCTGGCATTTGGACAGCGAGCACAGCTCAGTGTCGTGGGGCCGGGAGCGGCGTCGCGCCCTCCCCCGGGGCCGGGCTTGCACCCCGGCACGTCTCTCGGTATCGAGCGGGACGTGGTCAGACCACAGAGTGCAGAGCGCTGCGCGCAGCCGGGCCGGACCGCAGGCAGGGAGGTGCCGGGCTATGGAGCAGCAGGTGAGGCCCCCATGGGGCGGCTGCACCCCCCTTGCTTTGCTCTGAGTGGGGCCCAGCGGGACAGCGGGGTTCAAGGCTGACGCAAAGCGTGGGAGCAGCCGCTGCTCCCACCCCTGGGGTGCTGCAGGACCCGGAGCAGGGCAGGAACAGAGAGAGCTGCAGGGAAGCACAGGGAGGGGATCCTGCCCTGTGCCACGGTGCTTGATCCTGCCCTCAGCCTCCACGGGGACCGGTGTCCCCCCCTTGCCTCTCCCTTGGATCAAGCCCTGATTAGGTGCATGTCTCCCCGCGAGGTGCCGGATCCCCAGGGAGCTCAGCAAGGGCAGCGTAGCTTGGGCTGCTGGGGCCGGTCCTGGAGCCGTTGGTGGCGGCGCCGGGGCTGAACCTGCCGCCTGGGAACGGCGCTGCCGCTCTTGTAATGACTGAGCACGGTGAACCGCCCGCGCCTCAGCGGAAACGGCGCCGTGCGGGGCCGTTCGGGGCCTCCCCATGGCGGCTTTGGGGCTCGTCCTGGGTGTGCTGCAGCAGGCAGCGCCGTACTGCTCCACGCGGCAACGTGCAGTGCTGTGCAGCCCCGTGCAGTGCTGCGCAGCCCCATGCAGTGCTCCACAGTCCAGTGCAGTGCTGTGCAGCCCCGTGCAGTGCTGTGCAGCCCCAAGCAGTGCTCCACAGTCCAGTGCAGTGCTGCGCAGCCCTGTGCAGTGCTGTGCAGCCTCATGCAGCCCCATGCAGTGCTGTGAAGCCCCGTGCAGTTCTGCGCAGCCCCATGCAGGGTTGCACAGCCCCATGCAGCAACATGGAGCCACCCTAGCTCTGGCTCCACTGTGCAGGTCCCCCCCAGCCCCACAGCTGTGGAGCCCACTGCTACCCCCGACGTCTACCCCTGGTCCGAGGGCTACTCGTGGGACACCGGGGTGCTGCCCGAGCTGTGCGAGAAGGAGGCCGTGCAGGGCTTTGCCCGCACCTACCAGCCGGCTGTCTACCTGCTGCTGTCGCTGCTGGGCGCCGCGGGGAACGGGCTGGTGCTGCTCACGCACACCCGCTACCGCCGGGCGCAGAGCATCACCGACATCTGCCTGCTGCACCTGGCCCTCTCCGACCTGCTGCTGCTGCTGACGCTTCCCTTCGCCGTCACCGTCACGCTGCAGGGCTGGGCCCCGGGCACGGCCTCCTGCCGCGTGCTGCAGGGCCTCTACGCCCTCAACTTCTACAGCGGCTTCCTCTTCCTCACCTGCATCAGCGTGGACCGCTACGTGGCCATTGTGCGGGTGCCGGCCGCCTGCCGCCTGCGCCCGCGGGCCCGGCGCTACGGCTGCCTGGCGGCGGGGCTGGCCTGGCTGCTGGCCTCCCTGCTGGCACTGCCCCAGCTCATCTACGGGCGAGCGGAGCAGCACCGCGGCCTCTGGCTCTGCCGCGTGGTCTTCCCAACGACTGTGTCCCGGGCGGCCCGTGGGGCCACCAACCTGGTGCAGGTGGTGCTGGGCTTCGCGGTGCCCTTCCTGGTGATGGCCGGCTGCTACGCGGCCGTGGCGCGCACGCTGCTGGCGGCCCGCGGCGCCCAGCCCCACCGGGCACTGCGGGTGCTGCCCGCCCTGGTGCTGGTCTTTGTGGCGCTGCAGCTGCCGCACAGCCTGGCCGTGCTGCTGGACACGGCCGAGCTGCTGGCCGCCTGGGAGGCCACCTGCGCCCAGAGCCGCCGCAAGGACCTGGCGCTGCTGGTCACCGGCGGGCTGGCCTGCCTGCGCTGCTGCCTCAACCCGCTGCTCTACGCCTTCCTGGGCCAGCGCTTCCGCCGTGAGCTCTGGATGCTGGCGGCTGACGCTGGCTGCGTGCGGCCCCTCGACGCCCGCTGCCCTGGCTGCAGCAGCCCTCGCCGTCGGAGTTCGCTCTCCACATGCCAGGATGTGGCCTAGGGACAGGGGACCCATGGCCAGGGTGCCTGGCCCCCTGCCCGCCACCTTCAAAGAGCTTTGAATTTGCGTGAAGACGTCCTGGCCCCGGGAGCTGCATTGGGAGCCAGGACCGGCTGGAGGGCACCATCCGGCTGGACGGTGGGACTTGCAGCCCGGTGGTGCCCAGACTGTCGCTGGACCCATGGACAAGCAGCTGGCACGGTGCTCTGTGCATGTTCGGGTGATGGGGCCGGTGCTGTCCCGCGTGTGCAGCCCCCGTGGTGCTGAGGGGCCCGTGGCAGCCCCGCGCCCTGCAGCTTCCCGCGGCAGCCGCCTTCGTCCCCATCCGTCCGGCAAATAAAAGGTGTTGGAGACGCCCGGAGAGCGGCGGTGTCGCTGGGGCCGCTCCGAGGCTGCCTGCAGGCGGCAGCACGACATAAGGGTTGTCCCCAGCTCTTTCCGCAGTGACCCCCGCTGGAAGCCCGGCCGGGTCCCTCTGCCCACGAGGACCAGCAGTGGGGCAGCCGTGACGGGGATGGCCGAGCCGGGGGTCCGTGTCCCATTCCCAGCGGGGCAGAGCCCCTCGGTTTCCCGGGGGCCGGACCCCGGGAAAGCCGCTGGCTCTGTGCGGGGCAGCCCGCGGGTCCCGGTGCCGATCCCCGCCGAGCGCCCCGGCGGCAGCAACGGGGGCGGCCGTGGCTCGAGCGGAGCCTTCGGCGGCTCCCCCGGCTCCCGCAGAGGGCCCCGGCTGCTGCTCGCAGTTCCCGGCCTCCCGGGGGCCAGGGGCCGTTTCCCGCTCGCCCACACACCCCAGAGTCAGTGCCAGACCCGCGTCATTCCCGGGAGAAGCGGCCGGACCCTTTGCAGTTCCCGGCAGGAAACGCAATTACCGCTGAGTCAGCGCCGCGTCCCCCGGGGCCGCCGCGCGCGGGCAGCCGCGGAGCCGGGCGGAGCCGGGCGCCTGCGCCGGGGCTCGCGGCATCGCCCACGGCCGTGCCCACAGCGGCGCCCCTGGCACTGCCCATGGCCGCACCCCCGGCCAAGCCGCAGCTGGCCCCACGGCTGTGCCCACGGCCGTGCCCACAAAGGGCCCCACGGCTGTGCCCACGGCCGTGCCCACAACCGGCCCCACGGCTGTGTCCGGGGCAGCAGGCACCCTCTGCCACTTGCTCCCCTCGCCTGTGCCCGTGTCCGCCCCGCCGGGCCGGGCACATGCCCGCTGGGAGTGTGGCGGGGTGTGCGGTCGCGCGTGGGAGGGGATCTGGCGGACGGCGTTTCCTGCGTGCGTGGCCCGGCTGCGCCCAGGGACGTTTTGACCCAGCAGCTGCAGCGGAGCCGCGGCCGGCGGTGGGTGCGTTTGTCCCCCCGGGTGGAGCAGGGAGCCCGCGGCGGGGACAGCCCCGCGCCCGGCTCCGGCCTCTCCTGCACGAAGAGCCGCAGTGGGCGTCACAGGGCGGCCCCACGCACCACCGGGACGCCAGTCAGGCGCTGGGCCCGGCCCTGTCGCAGCCGCGGGGCTGCACGGGGCTCCCCGGCACCGGTGCCCAGCGTGGCTGCATGAGACGCCCGCAGCCAACGGGCTCCACGTGTCCCCAGCGCCAGCACTGGGCGCACAGGGTGCCCAGACCGGGTGCACAGGGTGCTCATTCTAACACTGAATGCACAAGGTGCCGGTAGCCAGACCGGGTGCACAGGGTGCCCAGACCGGGTGCAGAGGGTGCCCAGACTGGCTGCACGGGGTGCTCGTTCTAACACTGGGTGCACAAGGTGCCGGTAGCCAGACAGGGCGCACAGGGTGCCCAGACCGGGTGCGCAGCGTGCCCAGACTGGGCGCACGTGGTGCCGGTGCCCGGACCCACCACACAAGGCTCTTGCCCAGACCGGCAGTACCTGGTGCCAGGCGGCTCTGCGCCGCGCCCGGTCCCGGAGCGGGGCACACGGTGCCGGTGCCACCTCCCGGGGGTGCCACGGGGACCCACCCTAGGCTGGTGGAGAGCGACGGGGCGCAACGCTCGGGCTCCCGCTCCCGGTGCCGCTCCCGGTACCGCGCGGCGCCTCCCCCCGCACGTGACGCGAGCGGCGGCCCCGCCGCCCCGGGCGC